TGACCTTTGAAAATAGCTACATTGAATGAGTTGCACTGCCACTTAAGATTCAATCTGTTGTTTATTTTTTTTCTTGAATCCACAAATGGTGCTGAACATTATGACCAAAAATGTAACTCTATATTTCCGTTCCCTTTGATCCCAGGGATAGCAAAGGAATAAACAAATGATAATTTTACCATGTAATTATTGCAACAGCCCTAAACTACTCTTAAAACATCACCATTTACAATATTGGGATAGAAGAATAAAGAAGATTTGATAGAAAATAATAATAAACTAAAGCTGCAAACTCTTCTCCAAGCCTCCCTTCCCTTTTTACTTTACCTCTCGTTTCTGCCCCTGGAAGCTAAAATAAAAAATTGCTCCTGAGGAACAGTGCTTTTTTTCTAAAAAAAAAAAATGTGCTGGAACTCACACACGTTATACAACCCGCCTTGCCTACCCTACAGGGTTCCATCCAAAAAAGGTGCCGGAACTCCGTTCTGGGCGTTCTATGAGAAAAAAAGCTCTGCTGAGGAGTAAAATGAGGGGAAAAGGAGGGGGGGATGCGTATGTGTCTGGAGCACAAACAGTAGTATCCTTTGAAACATTTTTTAAAAGAATGTGTGTATGTGTGTATGTTTCTATGTATAGGAAGGAACAGACTGTAGTGGGTTCACTTATTCCTCTATGACTGAGCCCATCTGGTGATAGGTTGGCAGTTGTATATTGTTAGAAGTAAGTCTTCATCCTGGTTCATCCAAGCCGGGAATAAATAAGCAAACATGGCGACTGCTTTGGGAAGAAGGTTACAGTTTATTGCAGAAGACAGATGGTCCTTGCAAGAAGCAGCAGAGGAGAAGAAAGAGAGCGAGCACATGGGTAGAAGGGCTTTTATACCCCCTCCCAGCCCTGCTTGGAGTAGTTTCCTGTTCCTGTGACATGAACTTTGAGGCTATTTCTGAGTGTTTTTCTAGGCCTTGATATCTGTGGTTTAATCCCATTATCATATCCTGATTCCCAGGTGATGGGGCTAATGACTCTTAAGAGCTTCTTTTCTCTTGAGATCCCTGGCTCCAAACTTCCTGATGGTTCCACATCTGCATATGTATAAGACTAGCTACTGCTTTGGGCAAAGAGATGAGGCCAGGTTTGGTTTCTGCTTTTCAAAAAATGCTTTTAAAAATCCTTTTGGTGAACAATATCTTTCTTTCTGCCTTTTTAATATTTCCTTCTCTGGGCTAACTTCCCACAATATCCTGGCTATTTTTTTCTTCTGTTCAATCATGTCTGATTCTCAGAAACTTCCAGGGCAAGTCCCTGTGGTTTCTCAGAAGTCCTTTGACATTGTCTCCTTATTAGGCTGAGAGAAAGTGACTGGCCCAAGGTCACCCAATTGACTTTATGCCTCAGGTGGAACTAGAACTCATACTCTCCCAATTCTAGCCTACTACACCATTCTGGTTAGGATATATTCTGTGTATATCCTGTTAGTATTTTCAGTTACATTGACCAACAGGAGGCACCACATGGGATTTTGCCCATGAGGCTAGTCAGATGTTATTTTATGGGCTGAAACCTTCTGGGAATTGAACTCCTAGTTCTGCATAATTAGATAACTATATACAGTGCATATCAATAGTACTATATATTATCTACTGTATAAAAATAGAAAATTCTATTCTGCAGAAGTCATATGCAGAAGTCATGTAAAAGTTGTTATATGAGAACTTTAAAAGAATATGGATTGTACAGATTATTCAGATTTTATCATTTTTTGATACTGCTGAAAAATCAGCATTTCATAAGTTTAATTCCTAATAGAGGGCATATGGACTGTAAAGATCCTTTATGTAGCATTAGTAATGTAAATATATGTAAATGATGTAAAATCAGAATGACCTACTTGTGCAAAGTAACAGGAGTGGAAAAACGTAGGGCTTCTAACAGAAAATTTACAACATGATACAACATCTAACTAGACTAGTGGCCTATTCCCTAGTAATATGCTAAAATCTGAGGAATTTATGATTCTTTGTTCCTACTTCTTCTGGAATTACAACCAATTATCTGAACATTTTTCCTGTTTTCCCAGTTCTTGTTTCAACTTTCCAGATTTCTGCCTTTTGACTAAAAAAAGAAATCTGGGAGAGGAGGGTTAGCAAAATGTGCTAAGGTTTATTCCAGAGAAGTGTGTACAGGTTATCCTCGACTTATGACTGCAATTGAGCCCAACGTTTCTGTTGCTAAGTGAGACATATGTTAACTGAATTTTGCCCCGTTTTACGACTTTTCTTACCACAGGTTACCAAAGGTTGTTAAGTGAATCACTGCAGTTAAGTTAGTAACATGGTTGTTAAGTGAATCTGGCTTCCCCACTGACTTTGCTTTTCCGAAGGTAGAAAAAAGGGGATCATGCAACCCTAGGACACTGCAATCATCATAAATATGAGTCAGTTGCCAAGCGTCTAAATTATGATCATGTGACTGTGCAATGCTGCAAAGGTTGGAAGTGTGAAAAACGGTCATAAGTCACTTTTTTCAGTGCCGTTGTAACTTTGAATGATCATTAAATGAATCCTTGTATTCTGTCCCTTTCTGGCATTACTTTATCATGGAGGCTGTAGTTTAGTGAATGTTGGCTAACTATTGATGACAATTACAATGATCAGTTACATAGAAATCCTTAAACAGCTAATAATCTGAGGAAAATTTCATCTATTCAGTTTAATTAGAAACAGAGAGGGTTTTTTTCTATATTTATTTATCAACAAACAATAAAACAATACAATAGAAAACAACACAATACAAAGAATGAATTCTGAGAAAGTTCAGGGAAATGAGATTTCAAAAAGAGGTTCATTTTAATAAAACTACACAGAGTACAGTTGTAAGGAACGCAGAAAAAAAACTAAACTGTAATTTTTAAAGCTTACGATGATAACAAAAAAGCAAGAGATTTTAAAAATGTAGCATTTACACAAATTGACATGTACTAAGGAGGTTGAGGGACACTAAGTATAGTTTAACCTGAGAACAGACAGTTAAATAGGATGCTTTCTGGGTAGGAAAGAAAATATTTCTGTTTCAGGAGAGAAACAAGACTTTTGGGCATTGTCAAGCTACTTTCAATAGCTTAGCACGGTGAAGATTTATTTTGGACTTTCTCACTTCTGGATTTGGGAAACTGTCAATAATATGTCAGACAGAAAAAAAAATGTGTGCCCAGTTTTTCCCCTCTTCCTGGACTGAAGAGAGGACAATTTTTAGCATTAGTTTATAAAGTTAGGAAAATTACTTAGGTGGCAAATCTGAACATAGGAATTACATATTGTTCTAATAATGTCTGAAGATTTCATCTTTTTTTCAGATTCAGAAAGCTTTTAGAGCCAGGTATAGGAGTGTGCGTGCATGGCTGTATGTATTCTTGCACCATTACTGTAAAGGATGTTGTCAGAAGCCAATAGACAGAAAAAGGAAAGTTTTACTTGATATACGAATATGTAATTTTGGAATGGTTGAAACTGCTTCTTCAAAAGCAATAATAAGAAAAAGATATGAAAGCAGGAAAGAACTCTAGGATTTAAGAAGAGGTAATTTTAATAATTACCTTTAAATTGTTTTATTGTTAAATATATGTTTCATATAATATATTGGAATTAATCTTTGATAGCTGAAGACAAAGTTTTGAAACGCATCCTCTGAAATGCATCCTTGTAATTATTTCCTCAAATTTGTCTCATTTCATCATCAGAATAGAGCTGGAAGGGACTTTGGAGGTCTTCTAGTCCAGCCCCCTGCTCAAGCAGGAGACCTGACTCCAGAAGTGGTGAATGCTCCAACACTGGAAGTTTTTAAGAAGAGACTGGACAGCCATTTGTCAGAAATGGTGTAGGGTTTCCTGCCTGAGCAGGGGGTTGGACTCGATGACCTCAAAGGTTCCTTCCAACTTTATTATTATTATTATTTCAGACAAATGACAATAGTCTCTTCTTAAAAACTTCCAGTGAAGGCAAGCTGTTCAAATGGTTAATCATCTTCACTGTTAGGAAGTTTCTTCTTCATTCCAGGTTGCTTCTCTCCTTGATTAGTTTCCATCCATTGTTTCTTGTCCTGCCCTCTGGTGCTTTGGAAAATAAATTGACTTCCTCCTCTTTGTGGCAGCCTCTCAGATACTGGAATACTGCTATCATGTCCCCCCTCCAATTTCATGATAATTTTTTTAAGTGATTTCTTTTTTTAACTGTAAACCTTTAAAAACCAAACTATTACATCATGTTAATTTATATTTGAAATAATTCCCATAATACCAAAGTAATTAACTGCTTTTCCAAATAATTATTTATATTTAAATAACTAATGTTAAACTAATTGAGGTATTAATTAGAAATTTTACTCCTATTTTTAAACTGATTAGTGTAGATATTAAGTTAATGCAAAAACATACTTCACCCTAAACTGATCTGAATAGGCCAGTCCTATATAATGCTTTATCACCATGCTCCAAATTCCAAATTAAACAAATTATATTTAAGCAATTTATCTATTCTGTATTTTCTAGAGAGATATCTTCCCAATTCCCATTGTATTTATCTATTCATTTATTTGGATATATTGTCCCAGTGCTAAGTGTTATGTTCTGTGTTTATTTCATTCTGCATTACAAAGATTTTTGTTATATATGTAGACAAAAACTATTGTATCTTATGAGAAAGAAAAGGAAGGGACAATAGATGAAGAACAGTTCTGAAGTAATAATCTGTCTAGAACAGGGGTGTCAAACTGCTGACCCGTGGGCCAGATGCGTCACGCTAAAACCTCGCCCACCCCATTCCCGGCAATGGGAAAAAAGTCATGATATATCACGACACGTCACATGACATCACGAGTTTGACACCTGTGGTCTAGACCATTTTATGCTTTGAATAGGGGATGGGAAATGTAACAGTCAGTTTTGGTATTTGATATTATATTTCTTACATTGTTCTTTTTGTCGCAAGTGCCTTTTATAATATGCGTCAGATGCTGTGTCTTCTCTCACTTTGTATAATTTTCAGTACATTGGAGAGCTCAAAGCTCTTTGAAATAATTTTCTGGAAATGTTCATCCTTTTCCACTCCATTCATGAATTCTTCTAAGGTCAGTTCCCCTATTATGAAAACAATATACATTTCTTTAGAGTCAAAGGTTTGTAGACTGACTTTTTCTGTCTTGGAATTGGGGAAAACACTATCATCACCTCTACAATATTTATTACAGATAGTCCTTGAGTTACGAATGTAATGGAGCTTGCCCATTACGGTTGTAATGTTAACTGAATCATGTTAAATGAACGAGCTCCATCTCTCTTCTTCCCAATGCATTCATTAATCAAATGTGCAAGTTGTTAAAAGCACATGAAGTATCTCAGGAGTGGTGAAGACCATGGGAGCCCTAGTGCAAGGACAAGACCACAGCCTCCAGCCACCAAAGGCCTCTCCTCACCCACTGAGATATCCCATGCTCCTCTTTCCACCCCTTGGGGTCCCCATAGCTGCTTGGGCTTTCTCTCCACCCGTCACCAATCACCCACTTACTTTGGGAAGATCTCTACAGCTCAAGTTGTTGCAAAGTTGTTTTTCTTAGTTCTTGCATTCTTACACACACTTCCATCCTCTTTGGAAAAGAGTTTTTGTGTGGAACACGGAAGCGTATGTAAGAATGCGAGATTTATCACATCTCTTGTTTTGTCCATGTGTGCCTTCTGCATATAGTTTCCTAATAGCCAGAGCAGCAGCACCATTGCTGGGTTTCCTGAGCCCTTGCAGAGGCAGTGCAGCTGCTGGGTGCCATGCCTGGGAGTCCCACACCATCCGCACTCGCTTCCTGTACTGCCTTGGGTGCTGAGGCCCTTGTTCAACCAGGCGGAGAAGCCCTGGGCTGGCCCCTACCCTTCCCCATTGAGCCTCAGCGTCTCTCAAAAGTGAGCGTGGCCCTACCCTGCCACTTGCTGGAGTGCCAAACTTGGCCGCATCTTGCCAATTGTGTCATTGCAGAGCTGGGTAGAGAAATAGAGATATTGGCGCAAGAAAATTTGAAGTGGTGTGCCTCTTGCTTGTCAGGCGCACTCTAGTAGAGATCTGGCAGGCATAGAGATGCCTGAGGGCCGCAAGGGGAACCCTGAGTGAGGAGACCCTCTTGAAGGTGGGAGCAACCGGATCTCTGACATAGTGTGCCCGGTAAGCGAAGGGTACAGGGCAGCTGGTGCACCAAGCTCTCCATTTCTCTATACAACTCCACGGTGTTGCAATTAGCGAGATCTGAGTGGGTTCAGCACTCCAGCAAATGACTTCAGCTTTGGAGATCTTCCCAATTTAAGTGAGTAATTGATAATAGGTGCAGAGGAGCATATGGAATGTGGTGGGCGACCAAAGCAGACCCAGTGTCTCTGGAGCCCTGGCAGGGCAGGATTGGGGGGAAGAATTGGCAGGGAACATGTTGTAGCATGTCTCCGGTTGGTCGTAAGGTGAAAAACCGCTGTGGTGCTGCAATATACGTAACTTGGGACAGTGTCATAAGTACTTTTGGCGGGAATGTTGTAACTTTGAACCTTTGCTAAGTGAACTGTCATAACTCGAAAACTACTTGTTAAAAATAATATAGTTGCCCAACAATATCTCCAATTTGTAGAGAACCAACTATTCCATTTATTTGAAATTGCATTTGATGCATTTCTGAATCCTGAACTTCCATCTGTAAAATAACCCACATAAGAACTAGTTTGTTAGATGAATAGAGCAGACTTCTTCAATCTTTTGCATGACATTCTAATAATTAAAGGAAATTATGTGGAGAGCCCTAGACTGAGGAAGGCTGGAGATACTGCTTAGATATGCACAGCTATGTGACTATGCTTCAGGGTGGGAAATGGAGATAATGAAAACTGGGGAAAGAAACTCTTAAGCTCTAAGTAAATGTTCAGATAGATAGTTCAAACTCCTTGCTTCCTCAAGCCGCTTTTACTGAAACAATAAAAATGCAGAAGAAAAATATATTTGTCTTTGTGGGCCTATCTAATTTGAATCTCAGTTATTAGTTTCATTTTAATGTGTCAAAATAACGAGTCTCTCATCTTCCTTTAGCTCTGCATATTTATTCCATTCTGATCAGTTTTATATTCCAAGGAATAGTGTATATGAAAGTTTTTCTTAAATATTTCTTTTTGGAATTGGTTGTTGCGCTTAGGGGGTTAATGAATGTGATGCTGAACTGACAATAAACTGAGATTTATCATTACAATAGAGCTTAACTTAAAAAAAGCAGATCTCCCTAACATAAAACCAAAGCAAGAATATCTTAGGTAATAATGCAACTGAAGAATGCTAGGTACAATTATCCTGTTCCATCTGGATAAAAGTATAGCTTGCGACATTTCAAACATTCATGTTTCTCACTTTGATTCTCATGGCAAGATTCAGCACTTTGCTTCTAAAAAACACAGAATATATAGTTTATCAAACAGTTGTTAGTTTATTAAACAGTTGTTTTTATATTTATCCCTGTGTTCAACTACTTTTCTCAACATATATGATTGAATATATTTATAACTATCTAGCTGTCAATAATCACTTCTGGTAGGATATCCTGGATCAAATGCAAAAACAAAATAGTTTTGCAAGGCAATTAATTACAGTACAGTTAACTTGTTAGAATCTCTGTAAACCAATTTAATAATAATAATAATAATAATAATAATAATAATAATAATAATAATAATAATAAAGTTGGAAGGGACCTTGGAGGTCATCAAGTCCAACCCCCTGCTCAGGCAGGTAACCCTATACCATTTTGGACAAATGGCTGTCCAGTTTCTTCTTAAAAACTTCCAGTGTTGGAGCATTCACCGCTTCTGAGGCAGGTTGTTCCACTGGCTAATTGTTCTAACTGTCAGGAAGTTTCTCCTTAGTTCTAGGTTGCTTCTCTCTTTGGTTAGTTTCCATCCATTGCTTCTTGTCCTGCCTTCAGGCACTTTGGAAAATAGCTTGACTCCCGCTTCTTTGTGGCAGCCCCTGAGATATTGGAACACTGCTATCATGTCCCCCCTCGTCCTTCTCTTCATTAAATTAGACATACCCAATTCCAGCAACTGTTCCTTATATGTTTTAGCCTCCAGTCCCCTAATCCTCTTTGTTGCTCTTCTCTGTACTCTTTCTAGAGTCTCAACATCTTTTTTACATCGTGGTGACCAAATCTGGATGCAGTATTCCAAGTGTGGCCTTACCAAGGCATTGTAAAATGGTATTAATACTTCACGTGATCTTGATTCTATCCCTCTGTTAATGCAGCCCAGCACTGTGTTGGCTTTTTTAGCAGCTGCAGCATCCTGCTGGCTCTGAGGTCCCTCTCACAGTTACTACTATTGAGCAAGGTACCCCCTATACTATACCTGTACATTTGGTTTTTTTTGCCTAAATGTAGAACCTTACTTTTTTCACCATTGAATTTCATTTTGTTAGATAGCGCCCAAATTTAATAAAATTTGCTCAACAAAGAATTCAAAAATAAAGAGTGAAATGAATGAACCAAGCTTTTCTCCATTCTCTTTCTCTGCTGCCTTCGATTTCATCTTGCTGCAAACACACAGTGAGATCAAACCATACAGTCTGAATGGCTCTTTGAATTAAAAAAAAATTCAACTTTTGCTTTGTACACTGTCCATCATATAGTAATCTTCTTATCTAATTAGATCAATTTCAACCAGTTATAATATTTCTGAAGTATATACAGTACATGTGGCTAACTCTATAGATATATCAACAGAATGCTTTTACCAAATTGCAAAGTTATTTCAAAATAATGAAAATAAAGATTTCAAGATGTATTTATTCTTACCATCATTGTTTACATCTATCTTCTGAAAAATCAGGTTTGTCAATTCTTCAGGAGTCATGTCTTGGTTGTTATTGATGGTTTGAATAGCCTAAATAAATAAGAATGCAAGACTAACTACATTCATATTGCAAATATAAGAGGTAGCTTTTGTATACTCTGCACTTGAGGCATAGTTAGAAAAGCAATCCAGTTAAATCAACACTGAAAGCTAATCACATTATTTAAAAGAGACGAAAACTTTAGAGATTATTAACATAGTTTGTGTTGAAATGCATATCACAGTGTTTTGATATTTAATTTAAAAAAACTATTAATACTATTCTACTGCTTTTAATTTTTCATTGCAGCTGAAGAAATTAAGATGGTGATTGAATGCCTCAGTATTTATCCATGTAGAAACACCATACGTTTACTAAAATACTATATGTGGAGGAGCCTGTGGAGATGACCCAGAGGCTACAGCTGGCAGGTCAAAAGTATTCTGGCAGAGTTAACATCTCTTCTAAAATCACTACACTGATTACCAGTAAGCTTAGCGGGTCAGTTCAGAATACTGGCCAATACTTATGAAGTCTTCCATAATATAGCTAATATCTATTAGGCATTGTATGCCAGCATTGAATCTGTCCCTTATAAGAGCTAATCCAACTTCAGAGGTAAACAGAACTCTTTGAAACTCTGTCATGAGACATATGCTCAGCTCCAAATCTCTTTTTACAATTCATATATTGGTTTACACTGTTTCATATTTTACATCGTTATAATCTGCTGTATAGGCTCTTCCTGTTGGGGCACACTATAAAAACATTAATAAATACAGTAAGAAGAAAATAGAAGCATAAAGTTGGAACGGGACCATTTAAGTCAATGCAGGAATCCAAATCAAAACATGCATAACACATAGAAGCCTAAATTATGAGCACTCCACTGCAGAAATCTTCTGAATGTTTGAACTGGCTTTTCTAAAGGGCCAAATTAGGTATAATAACTGAGACAAAATTCTGGCCATAGAAATGACGATCAGAAATAATTCAACCTGAACATAATCTAGGTGGCCTTAGTTTTTGCTTGCTTAGTTCTTAATGACCTTTATGCTGGATATTTGTTTTTGTCTCTGTTCTGTAATTCCATTCTTTAATAAATAAATAATTAAATGTTAGAAGGCTAAAAATACCAGATATGGTGCACTGTTATTTTGTTCCCATTTATGATAATATTTTCTTGCACTACATGAATAAAAAATGAACTTGGGAAAGAGTTTAAAATACAAAAAAACTACGTTAAGTAGTTTAAGTAGTTTTCTTGTCCCACTGTTATAGAAAAATCACTCGTACATACAAACATTCAACTCTTGGTGTTTCCTTCTTAAATATATGTGATTATTTGAACAAGAAGCTGTCCATCGGCATATTAAGGAACACACATAATTTGTCCCAGGAACTCTCATATTTTTGGGGTTTTGTTTTAATTCAAGTCTTAAGTTGGATATTCTAGAAAAGAAATTAGATTAATTGCTGCCCTAAGTGATACAATAATTTTTTAGGAGGGTTTTAAGATACCCTAGATTGGAATCACAGTTAGTCTTATATATAGCAATAGCACTTAGACTTTATAGCCCTCTCTAAGTGCTTTATAGCCCTCTCTCAGCGGTTTACAGAGTTAACATATTGCTCCCAAAAATCTGGTCCTCATTTTACCAACCTCGGAAGGATGAAAGGCTGAGTCAATCTTGAGCCGGTCAGGTCAAACTCCTGGAAGTGAGCAGTGAGTTAGCCTGCAATACTGCATTCTAACCATTGCTCCACCAAGGCTCTTTGATATATAGGAAGGCTTTTTCTTATGAAAAAAAGCTTAGGAATTATGATCCCTACATGAAAATAAACAGTTTTACTGTTTATGGCTAAACAGTTATTCTGTTTGCAAATATATGATTAAGAATCTCTGCCTTGCCCTTTCATATCTGTTTAAAACACAAAGAATTATAGTAATTGTGATACTGGGCACCTGGTATAAGAATGAACACATAAAAGATAGTTGCATTTTTCCCCAGTTTCTTTGAATAATATGTAAAACAGCTCTGTTACTCAGTTCGTCCCATGAGCAATGAAACACTTGCCCCATCTACAAAGTTTGGTTCAATCCTTTCCACTATTGTGTTTCATCTCTAAATGTACTAAAATGTTTGGTTGTGATCACTCAGCACTACCTTATGTAAAGCAGCTCCTTTGAATGTTCTTGAGCTAGATCAGGGCTTTTCAACCAGTGGTACGGGTTCCACCTGTGGTACATTGGCACCTGGCAGGTGGTACACGACCATCCTAGAAAAGTAGTAGCGGGGAGGGGAATGAGCTGAACCGGTGGCAGCACCGCACAAGCCTGAGCTAGAGACGGCTGGAGCTGCAGAGCTGTCAGGGCTCAGTGGAAGCCCCAGGATCAGCGCTTCTTCGGGGCTGTCAGGGCTCAGTGGAAGCCCCAGGATCAGCGCCAGGCTCCAGCTGGAGCTCGGCACTGATCCTGGCATTTCTGCTGAGCCCAGAAGAAGTGCCGATCAGCTGGAATGTTGCAGCATCTCCAGGGTCTTGTGATTTACATTCAGATGCTTGGCAACTGATTCATATTTATGACGGTCACAGTGTCCCAGGGTCATGTGAAGTGACCAAAACCTGCTGCAATCACCCAGCAGATGGGGGGGGGAATAAAAACCAAACACCCCCCACCCCACCCCCGCTGCCAATGCTCACAACAATGAAAACCTCAGACAGGAGGAAGAGCGCCGCCGGGTGGGCAGGCAAATGTCTTGCTCGGCTGTGGCTTGAGGGGCAGTTTTTTCAGTGCCATTGTAACTTCGAACAGTCACTAAGGGAACTGTTGTAAGTCGAGGACTACCTGTACTTTATCACTTTTTTCCTTTTTTGGGGGGGGTCATCAAGTTTTTGACACCTTGCTAGGCGACTGGTGGTACTCGGATATTGCCATATCCTAAAAGTGGTACAATGGGTGAAAAGGTTGAAAAGCCCTGAGCTAGATTACTTTCCCAAAATACCAAGAGCCAATAGCAGCTTTGGATAGTTTCAGTCTCACCTAATGGAAGTGAGGAAAGCTCAGTGTAGATATGTATTGCCTTTGTCTCTGAGACAGCAAAGAAATCATGTGATAATTTGGTCATATATATTTTTTAATAACAATTGTTAAATCAGTCAAAACATCAGCATGTTCACAATATTAAAATCCCATAGAATGATCCATCCTTGCAAATTTGTGCATTTACTCACCATTAATATGCTTATTACTTCTTTTTTGTCAATTGTTCCGCTCCCATCAATATCATAAAGTTTAAAATACCATTTCAATTTTTGGTCAATTTTCCCACGTATCACCAGATTTATAGCAGCTAAAAGCTCCAAATAGTCAATAAATCCATCCTTTAAAAAAAAAGGGGGGGGGAATGTGGGATAAGTATATTTCAAAGTATATGAAATTGCATTTATTGTAACAATAATATTAATAAGAGGATAACTGGTTGCAAAAATAATTAAGGATGTTTTGATGGCTTCTCCATCCTGTAATTTTCTTGCTACAGAAGATTCTCCCATTCAGAAAGAAGGGAAAAGGTCAGTAGAAGACCAGAAACAGAAAAAAAAAACTCACTGTCTATCCATAGATCATGATAATAATAATAATGTGGTACAGACACTTCCTCTCTGTATCACCACTTCAGACTGCCCACTAGATTTTAAAAAGTAGAGGTAGTAAATATCAGAAACTTTGCTGCTGTTACAGTAAACCAGAATTGTTCATTATGAAATGGCAGTTCCACATCAAGAGATGTTTCTAGCACTGAGAAGAACAACCTCATTGTCTCATTCTACTGCAGCTCAAATTTCTGTTAAAGCAATTTTACAAAAAGCACATTGTCAATAATCTAAGTGATGCTAGCAGAGTGTGTAGTTGATAGCAGTTGTTTGCTCCATGTGAAAAATAGCAATGTAAGTTGTTCATCTCTTTTCTTGAAAAGGCTAGTCATATCAGGTATGTCATGGAATTTTCACAAAAAAAGAGCACAATGCTGAGGAAAAAAGATCAATCTTTATTTAATGATTATGGGTGCCTGCTTTGCAAGAAAGAGGAATCCTGAACAATAGAAAGGAAGATAACTGTATACATTTTAGGGTTGAGGGCGAGACATGTGAAGGAGCTGATTTAGGGACACAGTTTGAGCAAGTGAGATAGGTGTTTAAACAAAGAAAAATGTATTAGCAAACAAAGCTGCTGAGAATTCCATTGTTAAACGGATGGATATCTGATCTTTCACCCATTTCGTAGATGAACTTATTTTAGGTGAGGAATATTCATTATTTTCTTTTTGATAGGATTAAAAAGCTTTTTGGGTAGCAGAAACATAGCCAGTTATGAGTTATGCATTAGCCAAGGATGGGAAGGAGTTTGGAGAAGATTCTGTAGCTTTATTATTATTATTATTATCCATCACAATTGATTCAGTACTTTTGATTTATTTTATTTTCAGGCATTTGATACCCTATCCTATCAGTGCTTATTCTATAAAAGATTCCAGGGTATTCCATTAAAATGTACTCACATATAAAGATATATAAAACTGTGCCGCGGTGGCTAATCCAAACTTCATTGCAATACGTTGATGAAAAAGATGCAGAGTAGGTCAACAATAGGTAAGTGGCAAAAACTAAGGCTTGAATACACAGTCAAGTACTGGATCATCAGAAACAAAAGAAGAAAGCATCAAGGCCCTGGTGGAAAGTCAGAGTTTAATAGGAAAGTACAACAGAGACCAATGGATGGTGCCACACTCAAAATCTCAGATATTTCTACTCCAACAAACAGCATGCAACGATTGTTATCGTTGAAACGTTATGGGATTGTTGAAATAAAAGTTTTCATCCTGGTTCATCCAAGCCGGGGATAAATAAACAACATGGTGATTGCTTTAGAAAGAAGGTTGCAGTTTATTGAAGAGCCAGAAAGATGGTTCTTGCAGGAGAGAAAAAGAAGGCTGAGCACATGTGGGAAGTAGGTTTTTATAATCTCTGAAGCCTTTTTTCTCCTGTTTTAGGCTTTGTATTTCCTATGTCACGTATTCTGACCTGAGTCTGGGTGTGCCTTTCTGGTATTCTTGATGGTGATGGGTTAGTCCTATTATCATACCCTGCTTCCCTGGTGATGGGGCTAATGACTCCTAGAGTTTGGGTGGGGTATGCAGATTTTAGGTGTCTTTGTCTTCTTGATCTCCTAGTTGGGGCCTTTCTGATAGTTTACATCTGCATTTGTACAGGGATGGCTTCTGCTTGGGACAGAGAGACTTGGGGACAGGGTTGGTTTCTGCTTTTAAAATCCTTTTGAGGAAATATATTTTTCTGCTCTTTTAATCTTTCCTTTTCTGGGGGGGGGCTGACTTCCCTCAGGATGATATTTATCTTTGGCACACAACACTAGAAAGCTAGTTCTTGTGCAAAAGGAGCAGATGCAACAGAAGGAGGGGAGGGAAGCAAATGTTTTATTTTGCACTCACCTACTCTAGTGACCTAGAATTGGTCAAGCAACAATCCAGGATTGATTGTACTGGAATCTTTTGTTTCAAGTCTTTTAAAATCTACTGTTTGCTGGGCCAAATTGCCTTGGGCAATGCTAATTGACAAACTGCCACCTAAGTGTTCGTTTCTTTGATTTGTATCGTCTTTTGTCTGGAGTATCCTTCTCTTTTCATTTTAGAATGCCAGGTATGTAGTGCGATATGCTCATTTTCTTTTTCAGATATAATTCCTGGGGTCTCTTTAATGGTTCTTTTGGAACCATAAGTAGACAGGTTACAAGCAATCACATTGAATTTAGTGGAGAAATACATTTGCAGGATTAAATCCTTAATAATACCATCAAATGTATAGCAAAAATAGCTTTTTATCTAATACTTGTTAATTGGATGACATCTTGGATATAAAAAAGAAATGACTGATTCCATAGGGAATGTCAGCGTTGTGACAACAGAAGAAACTGTAGCCATTTTACTTTTGTTGTTTATTGAAACTTTCCACTCTGTAGCTGGGGATTTTTCATATAGATAGAATAAGGGGGAAGGGAGAGGTATGAAGGTTCTTAGTTAGTCATAACAATTGCAGCTGCATTTTTAATCAAGGTTGTTGTGAGCAAAGAATATTGGCAGTAGGAGGGTGGTGGAGAAAAGCCCGCGCTTATTTGTCATTGGGGAATGTGATGTGTGACAGCTTGGTTTGGGGTGGAAATTATAACTTGTAACTTTGTATGAGGGGAGGGAACTTTCAGTTTTGGGTTCAACTATGTAAGTGCTGATATCTTATTTCCAAATAAAATGTTCTTGAAGAAACATTTTTTGCCTTGAAGTTCTTTTGACTGGCTTCATTTATCAGAATCATGACAGGGATACAATTGTGACACAATTTATTTATTTTATTTATTTATTTTTTAGATTTATATCCCGCCCTTCTCCTTGCGGACTCAGGGCGGCTAACAACCGGATAAAAATACAAAAATATCACACTACAAATTTAAAAAGTTAATTAAAAGGGAAATATTAGTAATTGGTCTAATTAAAATTATAATTAAAACCCCTCTAAAAGTTTCCCCTAGGCCAGTCCCGCAAGCTGGAATAACCATGTCTTAAGGGCGCGGCGGAAGGAAGGGAGATCAGGGATCACCCTGATCTCTGGGGGTAGTTCATTCCAGAAATTGTTGAACTCTGAATGATGATAAGTCCAAAGCAAATTTGTCAACAACTTGCAAAGAAAATGTCAGAGTATGTAAGTATGGCTGGACAAAGAGCAAGCTATGTGCATGAGACAGAAAAGGCGCATATTCAAAAGTGGATCTGATGTATAGTTTAATCAGAATAAAATAAACTATTCTGACATACAATTTGTGCCTCCCATCATGGAATTTAAATATTTACAGTTTAATATTTGTTGATTTCTTTTATCAAATCATTTTTCTGAAAGAGCATTTTTACCATTTTTTGTGAATTTTTTTGAATTTTAAGAGATTATAAGAATAATATTGCAGAATAGATAAGTCCATCAATACCACTGGACTGCTACACAGCTACTGGGAGCTGACATCCAGCAACTTCTGCAAAATTGCAACTATTCTGTTCCTGAAAAGCATTGTTGTGAGAGCGAATGAAAAACTGTGGCTGATTTATGAGGTCCGCAAGATGCTGAAAGCACGGAATATGGCTTTCAAATCTGGTGACACGCTGGCACTTAGAACAGCCAGAGCAAATCTGAAAAGTGCCATAAAAGGTGCAAAGCAAGCCGATTGCCAGAAAATTCAGAACTTTTTTCAAGACCCAACAAACACCAGGCGAATGTGGCAAGGGATCCAGGCCATTACGGATTATAAGATGGCTCCATCAAGATGCAAGGATGTCCTCAGGGAATGCGCAGAGGTGCTGGCTTGTGTTCTCACAGATATTTTCAACCTTTCATTGCAGCAGGCAGTGGTCCCATCGTGTTTTAAGATGGCCATCATCTTGCCAGTACCAAAAAAGTCCACAATTACAGGCCTCAATGATTACCGTCCAGTTGCACTGACATCCACCATTATGAAATGCTTTGAGAAGCTGAGAAAGGACATTATTGTATCTAGCCTCCCGCCAGCATTTGACCCGCTTCAGTTTGCCTACTGACCAAATCGCTCTACGGAGGATGCTATTTCTTCCTTTCTCCATCTGAGCTTGAAGCACTTAAGAGGAAAGAAATACTCACGTGCGTTTGTTGTTTGTCGACTTCAGTTCGGCATTTAACACAATCATTCCCCAGCATCTAGTAGACAAAGTGGGCCTTTTAGGCTTAAACACTCCTTTGTGCAACTGGATTCTTGATTTTCTTACCAACAGGCCCCAATATGTGCGAGTTGGAACAAATACCTCTAATACCATCTTCTTGAACACAGGTTCTCCTCAGGGCTGCGTCCTAAGTCCGCTGCTGTTCATCCTGTTGACCCATGACTGTTGTGCTAGGTTTGCCACCAACCATATTGTGAAGTTTGCAGATGATACAACAGTAGTGGGCCCTATTCAGGATGACAAGGTGGAAGCTTGCCACAGGGAGGTTGAGGGGTTGGTGAACTGGTGTAAGGAAAACAGCCTAGTTTTAAATACTGGAAAAACCAAAGAGATCATTGTCGATTTCAGAAAAGGAAGGCACAGCTACACTTCTCTGTGCATTAATGATTCACCTGTGGAGATGGTTACCAGCATCAAATTCCTGGGTGTGCAGCTAACGAGTAGGCTGGCTTGGTCGCTCAACAGTGAGAAACTAGTGAAGCGGGCTCAGCAGCACCTGCATTTTCTACGTCGCATGAGAAAAGCACATCTTCCTTCCTCTGTCCTGACCACTTTCTACAGGGGGACGATCGAGAGCATCCTGTTATACAGCATCACAGTCTGATTTGGAAGCATCACTGCTTCAGACAGGAAGGCGGTGCAGAGAGTGGTGAGGATGGCCGAAAAGATCATTGGCAGCTCCCCTCAAGCGTTGCTTGACCAGGATCCGTAAGATTATCTGGGACACTACACATCCTCTTCATGACCTGTTTTCCTTGTTACCTTCTGGGAGGAGGCTTCGTGGTATCCATAGCAGAACATCCAGATTCAGCCATACTTTCATTCCATACAGCATTAACCTTGTGAACTCTCAAGCTTCCTCCTTCCGTTATATATTCAAGATGGACAGTATTTAATATTTATTTGTTATGTATATGTAGGGGTGTGGGTCTATACATATGTTGTACATAGTATGTTTAGGTATGTGCCATGTATGTGTTTCACTTTGAGAGCGGGCAACTAAATTTCATTTTTGATGTGTGCCGTTGTGCCCACAGTAAACAATAAAGACAATAAAGGTTATCTTATCTTATCAATCAAATCTGGTTCAACTTTACTACCGCTGAGTATTACCAACTGCGAAGAGTCTCATTTTGCAATTTGTAAATTGCAAAAAATAGATGTATTAAATATGTGCAAATTAACTCAAGTCTTGCTAAAGTCTGGCGGTTGTTTTCAGTACAGATATGGAAGAAAAGTGGGCACAATTATATTAAATGGATAGATAGACAGACAGACGGATAGATAGATAGATGGATTTATTTTAGAAATATAGAGAGCTAATTTTTATCCCACCTTTATTATTTTTATAAGTGACTTAAAGCAGTGAACATATATAATACACCTTCTTCCTCCTATTTACCTCACAACAACTATCCTATGAATGGGTTAGGCTGACAGAGAGTGACTGGCCCATATGCATGGCTAGCTTTTCTGCTATATGACAGCCAGAACCACAAATTGCCTATCTCTATGGTAAAGGTATAAGCTCAGAATCAAATCTTTAGACTGCTTGGTTACTATTTCCCACCCCACCCAAAGATCAATTTCTGGGGCAGGAAAAGATCATTTCCCCATTACGGCATGCATGAAGTCAATTGGAATGTTGAATGCATAGCTGTTAAAGCTGTCTTTCCCAGAATGACATTAATCAGCAGCATCTTCATCAAACTGCCCTGACACCAAAATGATGATTTGAGTGTGTGGGTATATTATATAAATGTCACAATTATATATTTGTCTCAATGTCTGGGATAAAACTATATGGTATTTGCATGATAACATTATAGTACACACATTTGCTCCTCTCAACCTCTCTGTTATATTCTCAAGACTTCATTCAGTCCTGCTCAGTCCATGCCACGGCAGTGCCAATCACCTTGTCTACTGCAGTTAAGCAGAGGTGGTGAGCTTTTGCAGGACTCCCTGGGACTGTGAGTCCAGAGTTTTATGATGACTGAATTGATTATTATTACTTAAACTTAATTTTGTGAGTGTTTGACTTTATTTGTGCACGGGTTTTATGAGTACTCTGCATGCTCATACAAGCACACCTTAAAAGGAACATAGGTCTCAACAGATGACACTTTTTAATACATATAGTCTTCACTTAACAACGGCTCTATTTAGTGACCATTCAAAATTATGACAGCACTAAAAATGTAACCTTAGGAGTGATCCTCATACTTTCAATTATCTTAGTGTCCCTCAGTCAGGTGATCATAATTTGTGAGCATGACAGCTGGCTTTCACAAGTAGAGTCAATAGGCAGTGAAATTGCAAGTTGTGAACATGTATTGTCTTGCTTAACAACCATATCATTTAGCTATAGAATTGCCAGCCTCAATTATGGTTCTTAAATGGGTAGTACCTATATATGAGGACTATTAAATATTTATTTATTATTGTTTTTAATTAATATCAAAAAATAGAAATAAAAAGAGAAAAACAAACATAATGACAGACAAATGTTGTCAAAGAACATATAAACAGTGCTTTAATTAAACAGATTTTTAAAAATACAACAAAGGAAAAACTATGATATAATTCTATATATACTTATCTAATGCAAATATACAGTAAATCTAGTACGTATATACTGTATTTCTAAAACATTTATGCAACTATTTTTTTTTCAACTTATACTGTGCATAAATGAGTGCCATATTTCACTATACTTGTTTATACACAGTCCATGTCTACAGGCAATCGAATCATAAGTGGCAAGTACAATCAGGCCTTCAATAGGACAATTAAATGTTATTATTAACAATTGTATGCATGAAACTTTTTCACTGTGTGTATTAGAAATTATAATCAGTTTAAAATATACTTTATCCAAATAGGCCAAAATTAGAAATCACTAAAGTTGCCCTAGCCAAGTGAATCATAATGAAAATTTATCAGTTCATCTTAGATCAAGACAAACATCAAATATTATTCATTGAAAACGTAAGCTACAGGAAGAGAAGTCTGAGAAATTTTCACATTAAATTAATTTTAGTCTCCTGCTCAAGTGCAGCAGTGTAATATAGTAGGTTAGTGTAGGCCAAATAAAATCTGAGGATACTGTCCTAAACAGTGTTAGCTGGATGGTAATGGAATCCTAGGAGCTAGGACTGTAACCCCCAGACTTGTACTTGTCAATTTTTAAGAATTATAGTTTCTAGAATTCTAGAACAGCCAGTTCTACATTGGAGCTCACTATTTGCAAGAGAGTGTAGCATGAGGAATGTTACAATAAAAACACATGCTGTGTGTATTTTGTGTGTGTGTGTGTGTGTGTGCATCTTTTGTGAATCTATGCATATGAATAAGCAATAAAATTATGTGAGTTCAGGGGTAGACAATCTCATTGGTGCCAGCCAGTGAGTGGGTAGACAATCCATGGAAATATTTTTAAAAATGACAGTGATGATGATTTAAAGCCTCCCAGGGTTGCCTTATATGGGAGATGGGCTGCATAAAAAATAATAAATAAAAATAAAAAATGAATAAAAAAAATAAAAAAACTAAATTTGAAATCACGTGCTGCATAAGAAGTAGTCCTAAATATATACTGATTTTGCTTCTGTTTTTTTATCACATTTCAGGACATGATACATATAGTTTGGCTTTATGGTTAGATGAGTGGAGCCTTCATATCAAGAAAAGAAGACCCAACCTCAACAGTTTAAGAGTAAACAGCATAATATGTTTTCTCCAGTTTTATAACTCTGTGCCTAACCAAAACTCTTTTTCCAGGATCTCTGCAACAGTTTCAATGCTAAGAAAAAGTAATGAGAGCTAACTGTGGTTCATATGAGTCACATTATTTTGAAACTTCATAAATGATTAGTGATATTATTTTTTCTGCTGAAGTTCTGCTTTTCTTTAAGCTCTTCTCATTACAAAGTATTATCTGCTAAGATCAATTTCTAATATTCTATTGTCACATTTTCAAAAAAATAATAATTAATGTGTAAATCAAGTATACTATAAGTCTCGGTGAAAGCAGTATAGTTGCTGGGCCTGTGGAAATATTGCTCATAAGTCTACCTTATATTCTTAAACTTATCTTTTATGGCAGATTGTATCTTCCAATAATAATGGTTGGCATTAGTATCTTGTAATTTGTCTGAGCTAAGATTACACTTGACTTTAGCCCAAAGGCTGACATTAAGTCAATAATCCCCAAAGCACAAGTCAATCAATCATTCATACTTATTTAATATGCCTAGTTTTTTTCCAGGAAGACAATTTAAAAAGTTTTATGAATACATTATGTATGATGAAAGAAACTGTCACAAATAAATTGTAAATAAACAAAATCGTTTTTTAAAGTGTGTATCATTAGAAAAGCAAGCCAATATAAAACAAGTGAGTAAATATGATGCAACTACATTTGGAATATTATGTACAGTTCTTATTGTATTTCAGAAAGAATATTGTACAGTAGTAATTGGATAGAATTAGAAAAAGATAAATAAAATTTTAGGAATGAAATATTACAACAACTGGGCAAAGTGACCAAAGGACTTACTCTACAAGTATGATATGATTATGTATGGTGGGCTCCAAAATTTCAAAGACTCATGTGACAAATTCATGAAGATTAATCATGAAGCATATTGGTTGATTTTAATAGTTAATAGCTCTCTACAACCTCTAAAATTGAAGGCATAGAGCTGGCAACCGTAGTTAAAGATGGCAGTCACTTAATTCTGTGCATCTCACAGATATCTGACCAATGTATAAAGCAGGGGTAGTCAACCTTGGCTCTTTTATGACTCGTGGATTTCAATTCCCAGAATTCCTGAGCCAGGAATTCTGGGATTGGAGTCCACGAGTCATAAAAGAGCCAAGGTTGACTACCCCTGGTATAAAGCAACAGATGAAAGTAGATAGGCCTTTGTTGAAAGTAATCTTTTAATTATTTTATTTATTCATTTTTCTTTAAAAAATAATCGAATCAGAAAATCCAGTTAACATGAATATTTGAAAACACACTGATAATCATTTATGAAATTCTGCCAGCTTGAGAGGCTGTTTTCCTTTTTTGGCTTTTTTCCTTAGATATCCTGTTTTGCATATATTAATATAAACTGCTAGCATATTCTGGGAATGGTATTTTTTCCAATGTATGAGATATCAGGATAACTATCAGCTATAAAATATATTTTTAAGCACTGATAAATTAAAACCCTGTTAAACAGGCATATACTCTTCTGGCTACATTTATATCCTGCAGAATCAATCTGGAAGGAATTGTAAATCAAATATGTCAGACTTAAGATTCCAAAATGTTCTGTATACAATACATGAAAAACAGCACACAATTACCTAAAACTATGCACTATAGATATAACTCTTACCTTATTTGTATCAAAAATATTGAATACTTTCTCAACATAATTATTTGCCAGGGTAGTTGAATTTTCAAGACCAAGGATGTTCTTGCATTCATACATGGTGAGTTGTCCAGATGGGCATTCTTTCATGAATTTTGCATACCATTGGTAATTTTCCATAGCCATCATTTCTTCCATTGATTCATTAGCACCCATTTGGAGGCAATGAATCTGTCCTTCCTTCTTAAATTTTTTCCACGAACACTTTCCCTCACTGCAGTGGCTCAACTTTAACTGGAATAAAAGGAACTCCAACACATGTAACAACTGTAAGCATCTTAAGATCACTATAGGTTTAGTTTAAGTAAAAATAGAAGTGGGATTACCTTCAGCTCTACTAGTTAATATAGATACTTCTTTTATAACATTAACACTCCTAAGGGAAATAGATATGCGTTGCTCTTAAAAATAATTCATGCAGAAATAGGTATTATGATGATTTGATTACTAATCAAGATTATATTTTGTATGTCGAGAAAAGAAAATCTATCCATTATATTTTTAAAACTACTAATTAAAAAGGGTTCTACATGGGAAGAAGGTTATGTTGGGGCAGAAACAATATTAACTATATTTACTAAAAATCATTTCTTTAAATATTTCTCTTTTTCTTATTTTTGAACATAATAGAATAACAGAGTTGGAAGGAACCTTGGAGGTCTTCTAGTCCAACCCCTATAGGAAACCCTACATCATTTCAGACAAATCACTTCACCATTTCAGTCCAATCTCTTCTAAAAAACTTCCAGTGTTGGAGCATTCACAACTTCTGGAGGCAGGTTGTTCCACTGATTAATTGTTCTGTCAGGAAATTTCTCCTTAATTCTAGGTTGCCTTTTTCCTTGATTAGTTTTCATCCATTGCTTCAGATGCTTTGTGGCAATCAGATGCTTTGCTTTCAGATGCTTTGTGGCAATCCCTTAGATATTGGAACACTGCTATTGTGTCTCCCCTCGTCCTTCTTTTCATTAAAGTAGACATACCCAATTCCAGCAACCGTTCCTTATATGTTTTAGCCTCCAGTCCCCTAATCATCTTCGTCATTCTTCTCTGCACCCTTTGTAGAGTCTCAACTTCTTTTTTTACATTGTGGCGACCAAAGCTCGATGCAGTATTCCAAGTATGGTCTTACCAAGGCATTATAAAGTGATAACACTTCACATGATCTTGATTCTATCCCTCTGTTAATATCTAAACATTTTATTTTTTCTTTTGTCTTTCATATATTTTTAAATCGCTTTTCCTTTCTACATTTTTTTTATTTTTCTCCAGTTTTTATCTTAGCCAAAAGAAACTTCAATAAAAATTAGAGAGACAGAGTCCATTGTCTGAGGATAAAGGTAGATTAGAGACAGTTTCATTTGCTGGCGTGCTCATAAATAAGTAAAAGTATTGTTATATGAAAAGTATCTGCTGTGCCATTCTATCTTAAATTGCAGAACAATAAATGCTGCTCATACACAAAGCTTATTAAAATAAAGCTAATTCAAGTTAATAAAAAGTTTAAATATTTGACAGCCAAATTTTAAACTATATGACTAAATGACACCCAATATTTCCAAATTATATTAAGCCAGTCTTAATAATGGTTGCACGCATTAGGTGCCACATTCCTAAATATCACACATATACTTTCCTCATTTCAAGAGGAATTTGTATAGGATGACTTCTCCTGTTTTTTATTTTTATAAAAGTATTATATATCTAAATCCTATTTCTTTATAAAGTGATTTCGTTTTTGTCAATACCTGTATATCTAAGCAACTGATGACTTCTAAATTTGAGTTAATTCCTCCATTGCATCCCTACCCACAAGATGGGATGAATAAATTCAGTCAACTGTAAGCTTGAAATGCTATGAAGGTTCTGATCTGATATCTTATGTGGAAATTGTGAGGACTACAGGAGGCCAAACAGCAGGTTAGAAGTACTGTTTTTCTACCAACATCTGGGTTTTGCAAAAACATATTCCTGTTGTATTCCCTATATGGTTTAGAGCAAAGGTATCAAACTGCTGGCCCGCAGGCCGGATGCATCATGCCAAAACTGCACCCACCCCAGCTCCGGCAATGGGAAAAAAGTCGTGATATGTCGTGACATGTCACGTGACGTGGCGAGTTTGACACCCCTGGTTTAGAGTTTTGCCCCTTGCAGCTCCTGGTTGAGTTTGTGTAGGGTATGATTTGAATCACATTAATGACCATCTCTTCTATTGCAGCCCATCCTGAGCCAGTGCCTTCTAACCATCAGCTGGGATATCATAGAGAGGCTAGTACCATGTGCAGAACTAATCCAACTGACAGGTCATGGGCATAGAGAGAACAGGATGTTAGGAGAGATCTTCCTTGTTTCAACTATTTTTCTAAGCACCTGCTCACTGTTAAGTGAAAACATGCCTGGTCTGTGTTTTTGTTGTGCTATTTTTTTGTTTTTAATGCTATAAGTCATACAGAGTTTTATGGAGTTACATGGTCTCTTAAGCTGAACAAACAAACATGATAAGTGCCTAAGTCCACCATATTTTTTTTCTAGTGGCAGGCAGGTAATGTTTTGTGGGAGGGAAAGCAAAGTCAAAGGAATTCTGAAATCTTTAACTTGGACCACAATATATAAGGGCACTACTGTAAAAGAAAGGGAAATGAATGAGCAAGCTGTTAAAGGGGATTTTCAGAAAATATTACTGAATCCTGAGAAAGAGGAAAGCATAAGAAAAAAAACACCCTCAAAATATCCTCACTTTCTTTCTTTTTTTTGGTAGAAGATGGAGTAGCTTGTCAAGATGGTAAGTTTACAATCTTACAACAATAAACAGCATTCCTAGTATCCCTGCTGTGTCTGTTTTTTGACCTTGCTTGCCTCAAATATCTGACACATGCCATTTATTGCCTTCATTATTGTGGCAAGATAGGGATTGGCAATAGGGCCACCAATTTATATCAGCATACTTTTATGTAATTCAAGGGTATGGATAGCATTTTAACTTAGATGTCTGCAGGAGAAAACCCATCTGAAGAACTGCAACCCAGCTCTAATGTATCAAATAAGAAAATGTAGTTTTTCAGATAATATCATCTGAAATCATAGAACCTTTTTCAAATTTTAATATGTAATCAAGGGATTATACTGCACAATATCACATTATCAACTCCAGCAATAGTTCTCACCTGTCAACCACTCAAGGTGGATCAGACAATGAACCCAAATCCATGCATGTCAATGCTTCGTTTATTATAACAGGGGTTCCCAACCTGGGGTGCTCATACCCCCTGGGGGTGCGAGACAATATACCAGGGGGTGCGAAAACTTGGGTTTAGAAGTTTCAAAATTATAGTGTATATGCATAATTCGTTTCAAACGTTTGTAAAGGGTGCGAGAATATATCAGAAGTGTTCTAGGGGTGCGGAGTATAGAAAATATTGGGAACCACTCTATTATGTTATAGTAACAGAATCTTTGAAGTCTGAATGAGTTTTTTCCACCCTCATTTTATCTTTGTGAGAACTAGAGATTTTTTTGAAAAATATTTTTGTTACTAGTTTTAGCTGAACAAAATCAGATAGTTACATTTACATGAAGATACAAAAAGAAAAAAAAACATGTGAGTACCAAAGATATATTATTTCAGTATAAATAAAAAAAGGTATTATACATATGAAAGTTTGGTATATACCAGATTATAATCTATTGCTATTGCGATAAACTGTAAAATCTATTAAGTTTAATAAAATTGTGGTCCCTGTCTCTGATTCCAGGTTTTCATTATGTAGTTTCTTCTAAGTTGGTACATAATTATTTGTAAATATTTTAATAATATTTTGGTTATTAAAGTATTTTAAAGATGTATATGCTATTGGAATCCTTAAAACTGTGCAAATTTCCATTTGAATATTTTGGGATATATTGGGAAAACATTAAATGTGATTAATGAAAATTAATGTTAGTCCTGATACCTCTGCAAATTCCTCTAATTCCTTAACATAACTAGCTGAATAAAATTTAAATCTGCAAACAAATTTAAAAGATATGCCTTATCTCCTATTTTATACCATTAATCTGATTACTGAATCTAAGAGCTATTGCCAGTGCTTCTATAGTTAAATTCAATAATAAAAGTGATAAAAAACAATCCTGCTTAGTACTGCTTGGATTTGTATCATAACAGTTAAATCTTATCTAGATTTTAATTGGTCCATAGATAACTTATCTTACAGATGCTAGAACTAAATTTAAATTTAATTAATACTTGTTTTAAAAACTGTACTTTGAAAGAGTCAAAGGCTTTTAATATATCTAAAACATATGCTTAATGAAGATTTATTAATTTTAATTATTTGTATAATAGTTTCCTGATCTGGGTAGATATACAGTATTACAGTGTGAAATAAAACCAGATTGTTTCATATGGTTAATTTTACTTGTAATCACTTTTGTTAGCTAAAATTTTAGTATAAAGTTTATAATACGTATGTCAACGCTGCAAATACTGAGAAGCAACAAGAGTTTATAAAATGCCAAATCCTGGGAGTCTTTATTCAATTTAAGGTTCAAAATTATCTTAAATTATTTCCAGGATTCTGATAAAGGATTCTTGGTGCAATGCATTGCACAAAAGTAAAAAATCCGTAATTTAGATGAATTTTAAAATTCCTTGTGCATTCCAGTCTGAGGTTTTAATACATCAATATTATTTGGATTACTTTTGTTCTTTTTGTAATCTTTTGTCAGTTATCAATCTGACCCGATTAGAGGTATAAATAAATGCTAGAGTTAATATTATATGATCAAATTCCCTATATAGATAAAGAGACAAAGGTGTTTATCAAAATACCTATCATTCAGCCCACTTGTGTTTCTTGTAACATAACCACGAGGTTTAAATTATTTAATATAATTAACCATCCTTTTTGTCTTAATAGAAACTCCAGACTTCTGACATTTAAAGAAATACTTTTATATTATTCTCCCATTACCTACATTTTAGAATGTCCCTACTTGCCCTATGCAGTTTTTATCTTGCAACCAAAAGTTATTAAAAGTTTATTGCTCACAGCCTGATTCTATCGAAAGGCTATATAGCAGTAATATCCCCCCTCTCCTACATTAATACCCTCCTCCCCTTTCCATCTCCTTAGAAAATCTCTTTCCACCCTTGCCCC